ATACTACACGATATTGGTTCGTTTTTCCTAAAATGAATTATATGTAGCTAAAAACAGAATAGCTGAATTCTAGTTGAAATTATTCTTTCAAAACTAAAAAATACTTACCAAGAAAACGATAAAAATTAATTAAGAATCAGCACAAATGGCACTATTTCAAGTAATTTGGATATTTTTTTATTGTTGTTTTCCGAATTTTATGGATACAGAAATATATACCATTCTATAACGAAGAAGAATACTCTATAACTATTACAGCTCTGTACGTTCTGAATTCATAAATATTTATTGGAATGACGAAAGCAATGTTGACGTCACTTTAATTTGTAATGAATTGAAGACAGAAGAACTGCATTTTACCTTAATACACACACACAGTATGCGATAGCGAAATCGGAAGTTATCAGTTGCAAGTTTGTTGATAATAGAAGTTAAAAATTATTGAGAAATTTTTCTTCAAATGTTCGGCGTGTTCTGGGTCTGAAAGATATCTCAATATTCTGGAGATTTTTTCAAGTTCTTCGGCTTTTCCTTAGGGAAATTTTTATTTTTATTTGCTACTAAGAAAATGGCGTCTGACTCTGCCAATGATTTTGATGGAACTAAATGAAAACGTGATAAATTAATGTCTGATATTTGCAGGCTCCCGCTAAAGGGCGTATTCAAGCGTTGCGATCGCGAATTGTTTATTAAAATTTTTTTTAAATATTTTCTTGCTTCCCAATTTTATTTCATATGAACTAAATTCCTTGTCTTTCAATCTTACCTTATATTAACATATCACATGGCATTTTATAATGGATAACATTTTTAATTAAGTTTGATTCTCGAAGATTTCAAGTACACTATTAAGAGAATGGTCAATCAAACAGTTTTATAATTCATTAAAATATGAATTTGTTATTTGTATGCAATTAATAATATTCCTATTAAAATAATTTTGAAACATTTGCTTTTTAGCCTCATTTTTCTATATCTACAAAATATCTATGTACATACAAATCTGCATGAAATGATGAGCAATTCTTATTGGGCAGATAAATCACATGGTATAATTTTTCAGTAAGCATAGAAGATTCTGATATGTTAAACTGTCACCAACATGAACCCAATAGAATTTATTCTAATTTTCATAGTATTTTTTAACTACGAAAATGGTGGCAAGGGAGCGGGTGTCTGGGGAAAACTTAGCTGGGCGTTTATTACCAACTAACCGAAATAAATTTCACTGCGAAACGATTTCGATTGGAAACACTTTCATCGGATTGCCTATTTTGTAAAGCACATTTCCATAAACATCACTTTGATTCTTCGAATTGAATTTTTGTAATATGCATTTAAATTACAAATCTAGATTAAGTTTAAGTTCAGTAAAATTGTGTTTCATAAATTAATTTATCACGAATGTTTTGGGAATAAATAGCTAGTAAGTAAAAAAAAACATCGGAATTGAAAAGTCTATGGTACAAAATTCGAACATGCAAGCGTGTTGCTATCGACAATAACTAATTTTCCGTACAACCGGGCTTCTCGCGCTAACGTGGTTTGTTGAGTTCAATTTAGAAAAAAAAGGTTATTAATTCTCATCAAGAGTCGGAATTGGTATCTAAGTTGGTCAAGAAATTGCAATACTGAATAGAAAAATCTTTAAGATAATGTTTTTGAAATAGTTACACAATGTATTTACAAAATTTGGTAGCCTTAAGACAAAATTATGCTCGTGAAAATATTCATGGTTCAAGGTGTCTGGCATGCAGAAAAATATAGTTTTGTATTTTTCTTCCTATCAATAGCGCCATCAATTGACAAACTTTTTAACTAATTTTGAAACCTTTTCAGAATAAAGACTGGCTACCTGCGCATCACTCTGCAAACTAAACATTTGTGGGTTATTCTCACGAAACATGATATTCACTGTCCCTTGCTCCAAGATCTAATACTATAATACTAAAAGAACTTTCTTTTAAAAAAAATTAATAAATAGCATTGCTGTTAGCATTTTAAAATGACTTTGCACTAGCATTGACTGTTTTGTATACTTAAAAATAGTAGATAAAAAGAATTAATTTATGCAATTTATGGTCTATCTAACATAAAGGCTTAAGTTGAGTTACTTACTATTAACTTAAAATGACTGTTTTTTAAACTTTTAAGGTAATATGTAATTTTCCTGGCATTCAAGATTTGGTGAATTTCTATTTTATTTTTTTTCCCCAGCAAATGTCAATAAGCTACACTGCTGTCTATTAGATATTAGCTGTCTATTTTATGTATCAAAGCAATAATAACAATTATAATAATTGATATAACATTCTTAATCTCATCTAAAAATGTTTAAAAAATAAAAAAATAAAAAGAATCATACATACTTTCCAATGGATTCCAAGAAAAAACTGATACTATTGGGGTCATTTCTATTCATCGTAGCGATACTTGTAACTTTTTCACCGATAGCTCTTTTTAATGTTGGTGTGTGCAAGCCATGTGGACCAATTTCGATAGTGATAGCATTTAGAGGAATTTTCTTCAGTACTTCGTTGAATTTAACTGTAGAAATAAGATTATTTACGAAATAATCGTCACCAACAATTTGGCATTCAGAATGTTCCCACTCAGCTTCAGGTACAGAAGTACTCAGCCAACGTTTCGTTCTTCTTTTGGGTACCTTTATAGCCTGTAAAAAATATCATTTTTAATAGCATATACTGGCCTATATTGGAACTGATCTAGTTTTAAACACTTTTACTTCCACTTGGGAGCGGAAAGAATTAACAACTTTTTTTAAAGAACTGTAATTATTTGCTCAAACAAACAATGAAAATATCCATGATTATATTATGCATAATTAAGAAAAAAAACAAAAATGTGTGGCAAAATATTCATTTTTAAACTTTTGTATCTGATATTTGAGTTCTATGAAAGTAAACAAACATAAATGAAACTATTGCCTTCATCGATTCGAAATGTGAAACTAAATTCAAATTTTACGAGTAACCTTTACGATATAAGGAAAAATATGCACATTGTCCAAACATCAGTATTAAATAGTTAATTTTTATTTATTAATTAACAAAGAAACAAAACCATTGGTTTAACATATAGAACTAAATTTTAATTTCCAATACGGTGCCAGTTGAAGGATGTAAACTGCAGTATATTCCTTATAATTTATATAAGTTTTCTTGATCTAAATTTAAAATACACTGGTTATCATAAATTAAGAAAAAATCACAAAAATAGCGATAACTCTTTCAAAAGTAAGCCAAACCGTTTGATTGTTATATAAAGCCAGCATAAACATAAAGTCAACCAATAAAAACAGCTCTCACACAGCGTTAGAAAAAGCTTATTTTGATAAATTGCGCTCGTATAATAGAGTAAGTTACTGTGATGGTTTATTTTATTGGAATTTCCTTTTATTTCCTTTCTATCTTAAGAAATGTCGTATGAAGTTATATTACTATACGTATAAAACTTTTCAAACTAGAAAAATTCGGTGCAGCAGTCACTTTAGAGGTTGATTTGAAGTGGCATGGATAATTTGATTTCAAGTCCATTTGTCTTTTAAAAGCAAAATTTGCTTTGTTCGCAGAATAAAGATTTAGCTGAAAAGTTTGTTATTTTTAATAACTTTTGGGACATTTATTGGAACTGACCTATTTTTAAAACACATATATTACTTGGAAGTAATTGCTTTCTGTTTATATTTTTTACCATATATTGTTCATCTTATCTAGAAACAGTATTTTAAAAGCAGACTTTTTTTCAGCTTTTTTTATAATATTAGTTTTAATTTTTAATCTTCTTTCGGAAAGTATTTTACGTACAAATAATTCGCATTCAGTATATGTAATCGGGTACTTAAAACTCGAGAAAAAGTGAAATGATAATGCATAACCAAGTGATTTGAAACAGATTTTAATCGGATACCTGAAAGCAACGTCACGCGTGTGGTTTGAACCTGATCGGCTTCTGAATCGACATCTGTTCCGAGTTACCTGTGATGACGTCATTTGAAAATATTCACTTTATACCAACAACAGATCCAATCCTCTGTTGATAACCAATTAATGTACTCCAGACATTTCCTTAAATTCTTTCATTTTTCTAGTTATTGAGTAATTTTCTCCAATCAATTTAATTGGAACATTTAACCCTATAGTGCTTATATTTATAAACAGAAGAGAGGAGGATGAGTACTTTTTACATAAAGCACTTTAGTTAAAGTTAAGCAGTTTTACTTAAAGATAAGTAATTAGATAAAATAATCTTTACAAAAATTAACTATGAAAATCTTGCGTGGATATATTCTCGTGATTACAAAATCTTGTGTGGACATAAAAATATGTATGCGGCTTATAACTAATTTTACAAAATTATATCTTTAAAAAACACACCTTATAAGTGAATGATCATCACTGAAATTCTAAAATTTAAATGTTATACGGAAGAGANAAAGAGTTATCGCGATTTTTGTGAATTTTCCTTAATTTATGATAACCAGTGTATATACAAGCCATCTTCGATGACCAACTGGTCGCCGGAGATAGCTAGTATATATAAGTGAAAATAATGTGAAACCGGTTAATATTTATGAATTAAAATCCAGGATTTGAAACCCTGTAGCAAAAACTTTATAAGAATAAACACAACTTATAAGAATTAACTAATATTTCACTAGTTAAAATGGTTTTATTCTTATTTCTAACAAATTTACACACAGTTCTTGCAAGTTTTGAGACTCTTTTAATTTGATTTGACAAAAATTGTTATCTTTGTGAATTTGTTTTTTTTTAAAAAAAAAAAGGTTACTTGCAAAATTAACTCTTTTGAAGTAGAGCTTCTTAAAGATAAAAAAATTAAGCTTCTGTTAAAATTAAACCGTGAACTTATTTGAAATCATTATTATGCTGTTAATCAAATTTTTTTTGATTCCACATATGTCTAATCTTCTATAGCAATTAGTATTAATTTTAAATATTTAAGTGTTATAGTTTTTCTGCAGCTAAGTAAAATGTAACGTTAAGCTGAACACTCAAAATAGCGACATCCATTACGAGTTCTTTAGAGAGAAATAAGAAGTAATGATTAGATTGAAATTCCTGAAATAAGGGTTTGAACTTACTTTTTTGAGTCTCAGTCTTTCAGCTGCAGGATATATATATTTCGAGTGAAAGGCTAAACCATAACAATTTACAATTCTAGCAAAACGGTTCTGCTTCTTAAGTTGATCTACAAAATTTTCGACGTCATTCTTCAGTCCGGAAAGTGTAACCAAGCTATCTGAATTATTACAGGTTGGGAATACATTTTCTGGACACATTTCAAGCGCTTCTTTCCAAGAAAGATCTATGAGAATCCAGAAATATAATCAATTTTATTTAAGTGCCCAAATGTGTATTTTTTAACAGTAATGGAAAGAAAAGAGTGTTGCATCATACTTGTAACAGCCATAGACCCATAAGCAATTTCATTGATTGCTTCTTTAACTGATAATCCTCTATTCAAAGCCAATAACATCGTTTCTTCTAAAGTACAGCAACCATCTCCATAACTAGCTCCCACTTCACCGGTGCTGTGACCTGTTAAGCCATCAGGCCGTATGCCAATGTGTCGTAAAACGTCACTTAGAGAAATCTAAAATGTTAGATAATATTAGGCAGTCAAAATTAATAATAATTTCCTTGCAGTCGAAAAAAAGAAACGTTTAGAAGTTATCTAAAAAAAAATATAGTCTGATGGGAAATTTTGAATCACTTAAACTTCTGTTATTAGGATCAGTTCTGAAGATAATTGCATGTAAGCGAAATGCTTGGTTTATGGTAGTTGTCAAAAATTAGCAACACCTATGATCCGCACCATGTGAACTTATTACACAACATAGCAAATGATAATATCAACTAAAACAATAAAATTATTAGGGAAATATCGATTATTAGTTATTATTATTTCTTTGAATATTTATTTCACATTATTTTTATTCGAAGTTATTATTTCAACAAGGACTATTTTTTTTATTGTTTTCTTAAGTTCCGTATTTTCTTTTGGAAAAACATGGCAGAAACTCGAAAAATATAGCACAGTTGTTGTTGTTGCGTATGCCTGTTTAGGCAGAGGGGTGCGATTGTTCTTGTTTTATAGTGGCGCCATCTGTGACCAAGAATTCGACTTCTGCCACACCCATACGTCACACCCTTTATAAGATACATCCATTCATTCATCCACAGATCGTAATTTTGACCTGAATCAGAGAGCGAACGATCTCCAATCGAGTACCCCCGGAGGTATTGATTTGTTATGGGAACAAGGAGGACTTCGCGACCCAACACATTTAACATGCATCAGTCACCATTTACTACACGGGGAGTCTTCAGCCGGAGGGGTTCGAACCCACGAACTCTCGGACATGGGCCCAGTGCCCTACCTACCAGGCTATCCCGGCCCCTTATAGCACAATGAAATATGTAAATGTACACCACCTGCCCAAGTAGATTTTTATTATCAAAAACCGAATTTATCCAGTATAAAAAACATACTTTGCAACCAGACCATCTGCCTAGGTTGGTCAATAAAATAAGTCAGATTTGTCTGGGAGTGTCATTGAATGCTATTCCAAGCCCTTCATAAATTGTCCGAAAAATAACTTCAAAATTTTCTTTATTATTATGTTATGCAATAGAATTTCAATGAATGAGTAAAATACTGTTAAAAGCAAACTTAAACCTCTTTATATTGCGATATTTCAACATATGGCAAACTATTAAGGGCTTTTGTAACAAATAGGTTTGTAAGTACGCGAAGTAAATGATATTAAAGGTATTGAAATGAATATGTTTTAAAGTTTTGTTATAGCAGTATTCTTTAGTACTGATATTTAAAAAAGATTATAATATGTTCTGGCGTACATCACTAACAGAATATGCCTATCTGTTTGTTTTCTTATCGAATTAGTTTAATGTAACATATTATAAATCATTCTAGTTATTAATTTCATTTCTTACGATACACGCGTTTGATCAATAAAAATTTAAAAGGAAAGTTAAAATTTTTTATTCTATTTGAACATAATTGATATAGAAATGTATTGATCTACACTGAGAAGCAGGGGCTAAAAATCCAGTTTTATTGTGGAAAAATGTAGAATGGAGTTGAATTGCGATTACTATAAACATCTAAAAGTTCCTTCAGACAATCAAACTAGTTTTGATGTTTTTCCGCGCTCGTGATTCGGCGAATTTCGATGGCTTTTACCACCCCTAACATATTTTCTATCTTTTTTTACTTCCTTTTCGTGAAAAATCCAAAAATATATGTAAATAATTGTTATTACAGAACACCCTATTTTAAATCAGTAACATCCTTACCTGTATAGCTGCGGTTGCGACAAATGCTGGTAGAATATTCCTATCTTGTTCCAGTAGATCTGAATCCGAACTAATTATTTCGAAGAGATCCAAACCATAAGGCTTTATAACTTCTGCACATTTCCTCATGGATGAAGCAAAAACATCGATTTCCATTAGTTGTTGGCTCATTCCCCTCCACTGTCCTCCCATGCCAGAATATAGAAACCATACTGGTCTTTGCTCCTCTATGCAGTGCTAAAACAGGAACATTTGATTCAGATCTTCGAAAATCTTAAGATCCCGCAGTGGACTGATCGCTAAGACACGGTTCCCAGCAGATCACCGAAGTCAAGCATCACTGGCTGCGGTCAGTGTGCGGGTGGGTGACCACTTGGATCAGTCTGCGCAGGGACCGATGGTGAGCGGTATTGGTCCTCGTTAAACTGTTCTACCGTGCAGGTCGTCGGGCTACCGAAGCGGGGGCGCCACCCCCTCTGCAGAGGATCAACATCCTCAGGGATGTTTCCCAGACCTTCGCCAATAGCCCATTGTGCAGCTCTAGTGGGACGTAAATGAACTACTACCTAAAAATCTTAAAGCTGCTTTTCAAAGGCTCTGCCGTAATATGAAATGAAGCTTTTTTGCGAATGATATGCCATTTTCATAACTGCTGTGAGTTTGCAACTGTTACTCATAACTGTTAGGTCAAGTTTAACCTATCTATTACCAGCGCTCTCGAAGCTTATTCTGAAAATGGCGCACGACGTCAATTTGGACAAAAGACAAAGTTTAGTGAAAATGAAAAGCATTTGAGGCCTAATTTTTTAATACTTAACTTACTCGAATGCTACATTATCTGGAATAAAAAAAAATGCAAAAAAACTGGGAATAAGGCAGTGATTTTGATAATTTTTATCTCAGTGGAAAATTGTCACCGAATTGACAATTTTTAAAAATCTTTAATAACTTTTAAAATATTTAAGCTATTTGTCCATTCTAAAGCCTAGATAATTCTTCGCGACAAGATGTTATATATAGTGTAAAATGATAACTTTGCTCTAAGTATAAAGCACTTAAACCGCGGTTTTTTTTATTTATTTTCCTTGGTGAAAGAGCTTCAAAAAACCTTGTTAATGAAGAATTGGGTACTTGCACTTCAAGAAGAAGAACTCCATACCCACACAAGTGACCTTTCACATCAGCTCTAGCTAATCTTTATGAGCAAAATGGCATATTAAAGTTGAACTAATTAGTTGAACTACATAAGTTAGAATGTTAATTCACGATATGCTTTTAAATACAGACTCTTATCGCACATCGAATTAGTTGAAATATAATTCTTACTCGTCTACTTCTTTTACTTAACTTAGATTTATTATTTGTTCATGTATTTTATTTTAAACGTGATATATTTTTGTTTTGTGCATCTGGCAACTTCAATGCATAACTAGTTTGCTTATGTTTCACATGGCTTCGTACCTGTCTTTGTGTTATATCTCTGCATAAATATATGGTGGTAGAATTGAAATCTTTGTGAAAGATTCCTTAGGAAAGAATTTAGAATGTGTCACTCAAGAGAATTGATACTTGACGGGCTTGGCTTACTCGTAATAGAGTGGAAAGAACAGTTGCTAACGTATACAAATGCTACGTTTCAACAACCAATCAGGATCGAGATATCCACACTACGTCACTTGCAGGTATCCCATTACAGGAAGAGATAAAAATATGGGACGAAACAACTTACGACACTTTCAAGTCTCTCGTTGAATTTGTGCTAAAACCGCTTCAAGTAGATAATGATAAAGGACTCATCTTTCAACTCATATCTTTTACCTTCGGCAATGAAACTGGTTTTGCACTTTCAGCTTCATCCATCTGATTAGAGATTCATTAGATTTCGGTAGTTTAATAAAAATTTGCTACCCTCATTGTTGTGACCCTGTATAATTTTTAGACTTTCTTTTTCACAAAAGCTCTAAGAATATACACTATGGACACTCATTACTGAACATGTATTAATTAACTTTATTTGATCCAAATCCTAACCTTATACAAAAAGTATGATATTTGTTCTGTTGCAGATGCTAACACTTAGTTTTTAAAAAAATAGCATTATTTACAAATTTGATAAAAACCTTACTGTTAATTCCCATTACACATATAGATGGCGCTGTAAGCGTAAATTGAATTTAATTGCAGAATTGAGTGCTGGAAGCAGTAGTGTATGTGTATGTGTAATGTGTAACGGGCTCACGAGCGAGTCTGTAATGCTGGTACAAAATAAATGAGTATAAAATTAATACAGTCCAATTGTGTGTGAGCTATTGATCTGACCAAATGGTCCTCAGAGAACGGAGGTGAGTTAAAACCTATGGATTAAAATACGAATTTCATCACTTAAAAGGTATGTACCAGTTTTGAAATTTGATTGAGATAAATTGTGCATTGACTTTATATAAATATGAACTATGTTTAAAGGAGCGAAAAAAGAGGATTTAAGGCAAATTGCCATTGAGTTAGGTGAAAATGTTACTGAGACTATGACTATTATTGAGCTAACGAACTTAATAAAAAACAACGAAACATTTGTTAAAGAGCCAGAACTTGCTACTGACATAGCAAATACTATAATTAATGATAGAAAAGCAGAAAAGGAATCGTTGTTACAGTTAGAAAAATTTAAGTTTGAGAGAACAAAAGCAGAATTAGAACTAGCTAAACTGCGAAACGAAAACAAATTTGAGAACTCCGAAAGTACTGAATCGCTGGATTCACTCGTCAAAAGTGTCCGGACTCTAACAGTTAAAGTTCCTAGTAGACCTGAAGGTTGGAGTTATTTTTTCTCATCCTTAGAAAGGGCATTTAACTCTAAAAGTGTACCCGAGAAATACAAGGCAGAAATTCTGTTAAATTTATTAGGAGAAAAGGCCACAAACGTGATTACTTATATAAAAGATAACGAGTTAAATGATTATTCTAAAGTAAAATCAATCGTAATAAGAGAATTTGAGCCCACCCCTCAATCGTGTTTAGAACATTTCAAAAATACATTCCGACAACCAAACGAAACACACGTACAATACGCGTCTCGATTGATAACAAATTATGATTATTATTTGAAATTAAGGAAGGTGTCGGATTTCGAAACATTAAAAGAGTTAATCGTATCCGACAAAATCTATCAAACACTTGACAAAGATACCGCATACCATATAAGTATGAAACAGGGAGACGATTGGTTCAAACCCTCTCAATTATCGAAAGAGATCGATCTATACTACACATCGCGTGGGAAAAAATTAGTCAATAGTTTAGAAAACGTAAAAAATCCCCACTCAAAAAATGCTTCGCGAGTATTCTTGTCAGATGCTAAAATTTCTAAATGTGTTTTATCGTGTAGTGAAAATCATCCATTATATAACTGCCCTGCTTATAAAAACTTATCCATAAATGATCGAGTAGAAGTTGTTAAAACTAATAAATTATGCTTTAATTGCTTAGGAAATAACCACAGAGTATCAAATTGCAAATCTAAGTATTCTTGCCAGAATTGTAAAAGGCGTCATCACGTGACTTTGCATTTCTCTCCTGAGAAAAAACCGTATGAGGCATCGGCGACTGCTAGTCGAAGCGTGCTTTCCCCCACCGCAGCTGAATTTATTACCAATCCTTCTAGAAGTGCGGAAGTTAATCAAAACAAAAACGAAGAATATTTTGCGGCTGCGAGTTTCGATTCGAATTCAATACAATCAAAATGTGTTTTGCTTAGTACGATTATTTGTTACATAAAAGATAATGTAAACAATTTAATTCCTTGCCGGGGTTTGCTTGATGTGGGTGCGAATTCGAATTTTATCAGCAAAAGATTATCTGATAGACTTAATTTAAGGAAAGAAAAAATAAATGCCTCAGTGTCAGGATTAAATGAATTGTCATTAGAAATAAAATCACGAGTGAGTACTACCATTACAAATGAGGAGGGAAATTTTAATTTAGATTTAAACTTTTTAGTTGTTCCAAGAATAATGGATTTTACCCCATCTAAACCAATTCAATGCAGTTTCCCAGAATTAAGAGATGTGAAATTGGCGGATTTAAGTTTTAACATGCCAGGTCCTATTGATATACTTATAGGCGCGGAACATTTTTATGAAATTATGAGGATAGGGCAAATACAACCCCCTAATACAAAGTTAATTTTACAAAATACGGTATTCGGTTACGTTGTAAGTGGGAGCATACCAACAAAAAATTATGATAGGGTTCACTGCGGATTAATAAAGGATAACACGGAATTAGAAAAGTCCATTAGTAGATTTTGGGAGCTAGAGTCCATTGGCATTAATGACGAGAATGAAAACATCGACGAAAACGAAGCCCTTAAGAACTTTAATGACACTGTGAGCTTTAAAAACAAGCGGTACGAGGTAACCTTACCTTGGAAGAGGAACTGGCAGGAGTTAGATGATAATTTCAACATTGCAAAGAAGAGACTTGACTCCCTGATTAAAAGAATGAATCGTGATAATTCACTATACTTAGAATATTGCGAAACTTTAAAAATTTATTTGAGAGAAGGAATAATTGAGAGAGTATTGGATCATTCAAAACCAAATGATAAGCCTGTGTTTTACCTGCCCCATTTGATTGTCAATAAAAAGGAGAGGCTAACCACCAAAATGAGAATAGTCTTCGATGCTAGTGCACATGGAATCGGACAATTATCTCTGAATGATTGTTTGTTTCAAGGGGTTAATCTGAATCCAAATATCTTTTATCTTCTGATCCATTTTCGTTTAAATAGAATTGCATTTCTGGCTGATATCGAGAAAGCATTCCTCCAGATATCCTTGAGTGATAGAGACAGAGACGCTGTGAGATTTCTTTTTGGAAAGGATCTAAAACATATAGAGATCTACAGATTCAAGCGAGTAATATTTGGAGTGAATTCTAGTCCATTTTTGTTGGCAGCTACCATTAAAAAGCATATAGAAAAATACCGTAAAGAGTTTCCATCCACAGTACAAGTACTTGATGACTGTTTATACGTTGACGATTTGATAGCTGGAGAGGACAGTGAAGAAGCAGCCTTTGAAATTTCTAAAAGAGCGAAACAAATCATGGGAGATGCTGGAATGAACCTAAGAAAGTGGATTTCGAATGATGAAAATCTTATGAAAAAATTGAATGAAGAAGGATTTGATCTACTACACCCAGAGGACCTCGAAGGAAATCTGCATCGAGTCCTAGGCCTTTCTTGGAATCCACTTAGTGACTTTATCACCGTGGAGATAGATAGCTTGCTTGAATTTCTTCAACAGGATAAAAATACCAAACGATTTTTGCTAATGGCTGCAGGAAGAATATTTGACCCTTTAGGTCTTCTCACTCCCTTCACCATCAGATTTAAATGTTTATTTCAAGAGATCTGGCAGAGGAAAATCACCTGGGATGAAGAGTTGCCACCCGACATTGCAAAAACGTGGAAGAAGTGGTGTACAGAAGTTTCTCAACTAAAAGATCTTAAAATTCCTAGACATGTGATGAGTCCTACAGGTGATGAGAATTTATGTGTCGAAATCCACACATTTTCAGACGCTAGTATCAAGGCCTATGGAGCCGCCGTGTACATAAAAATACGAGTCAAAGATCAAATCATTACCAATCTTGTGTCTTCTAAAACCAGAGTTGCACCCTTGAAGAAGATTACACTACCGAGGATGGAACTCATGGGTGCTGTGCTAGCAGCAAGATTAGCTAAAGAGGTGAAGAAAGTAATCGACCGAAAACATCAATCAACAAGCTTTTTCTGGACTGATGCTAAAATCGTACTCTACTGGATTCAGAGTTCAACCAAACGATGGAAACCTTTTGTGGCGAACCGTGTAAAAGAGATTCAAGCATTGACAGCCCAGACATCATGGCACCACTGTGCTAGTAGAGACAATCCCGCTGACATGTTAAGCAGAGGTGTGACTGTTGACGTTCTTCTTGGCAGTGCAAAATGGTGGTCTGGTCCTGACTTCCTTAAAGAGAACATTCCTGACGCTTATGAGGAGCAAACTGTTCATGAAGAAGAGTACCAAGTTGAACTTAAAAAGAACTGTGATTCCCATTTAGTGACATTAATTTCTATAGATAATGCTTCCCTTTTTGAGAAAATTCTTACCTTATCTAACAATTATACTAAAATTATTCATGTATTGAGTTTTCTTTTCAGATTCATTTACAATTGTAAAAATCCAGATGCAAGAAAAATTGGTCCCTTGTTAGTAAGTGAATTAAATGCAGCTGAAATTTGGTTGTTAAAATGTTTACAACGAAGTGAGTTCCCAGAGGAAATCAAAAGCTTGGAAAAAGGTAAGCCTGTTCCGAGGAACAGTAAGTTGTCTTCATTGTGTGTTTTTCTAGATGAAAATAAGCTGATGAGAGTTGGTGGTAGATTATCTCTGTCTGACTTGCCTGTTAATTCTAAGTTCCCCATCATTTTACCGGGTAAGAATTCTTTAACCACCATAATTTTGAGATATTGTCATTTAAAATATTTGCACTTGGGACCACAAGCATTATTATATCAAGTTCGACAAAAGTTCTGGCCTCTTAACGGTAGAAATAATTGTAGGAAAATTGTACATAGTTGTATCACATGTTTTAAAAACAAACCTGTTATGAGTAATCAAATAATGGCTGATCTACCAAAGGAGCGTACAAGACCTAATTATCCATTTAACATCACGGGAATTGATTTTTGTGGCCCATTTTCTATTAAGTTCAAAAACCAGAGAAAAGGGGTCACAAATAAGGTTTATGTTGCTGTTTATATTTGCTTGTGTACCAAGGCAATACACTTAGATTTTGTAACTGATTTAACTTCTCAATCGTTCATTGCCAGTCTAAAACGTTTTTTTGGGAGACGGGGCAAGTGTTCAAAAATTATGACCGATAATGCAAAAACATTTATCGGTGCTAACATTGAAATTAAGAAGTTAAGGAAATTGATAAATTGCCCAGATGAGACGTTAGCCAGTTATTTTACTAACGAAGGGATTGATTGGAAATTTATCCCACCAAGGTCACCAAACTTCGGGGGAATTTGGGAGGATGGTGTGAAGTCGTTTAAGTTCCACCTAAAAAGAGTAATTGGCAATCAAAATTTAACTTTAGAAGACAATTGACAATTTTGACTGAAATCGAAGGTGTTTTGAACTCCAGACCTCTCACTCCACTATCACCGGAGTTTGATGAATTTGAAACTCTATCACCAGGTCATTTCTTGATAGGTAGGCCCATCACCTCACTCGCTGAACCCCAACTAATAGATATAACTGAGAATAGGCTTTCTAACTGGCAAAAGATTAATAAATATAGTCAGAGAATATGGAAGTTGTGGAAAAGGGATTACCTTAATAATTTACAGGAACGTAATAAATGGAAATTTGAAAAGAATAATGTAGAAATAGGAACCCTGTGTTTGATAAAGGAAGAGAATTTACCATCTACGCAATGGTTAGTAGGACGAATTGTTGAGGTGGTGCCTGGCCGTGACACAAAAATAAGAGTAGTGAAGTTAAGTTTACCTAATGGCAAACAACTTCAAAGAAATATTCGTGACATTTGTATTCTTCCCATAGAGTAATTGTGCAAATAGAAAATTAGCTTTAGTCTTATATCTCAATGTCTGCTTTATGTCACAATGTTATTTGTATGATTCATATATATTTTTTTTTCTCTGTATAACATTATATTGCTGATTGTGTGAAATTTATTGCAATTTCAATCGTGGGGAGTGTTATTTCCCATAAAACATATAGATGGCGCTGTAAGCGTAAATTGAATTTAATTGCAGAATTGAGTGCTGGAAGCAGCAGTGTATGTCTAATGTGTAACGGGCTCACGAGCGAGTCTGTAATGCTGGTACAAAATAAATGAGTATAAAATTAATACAGTCCAATTGTGTGTGAGCTATTGATCTGACCAAACTGGTCACTTACTTTAATGCTTGATGTTTCACTTTGACTCAAAATGCCTGTAAGGCTTAAGATGTGGGTGACAAAAAGATATCTTATTCAAGAGAGAGAAAAACTCATCTGGCAAGGCTGCATTGTCTTTGATGTAATCAACCAAGTATTGTACAGAACTTTCACAAGTTCCCGAAATGAGTGCTATTCGTGGAATTCGGGATCTTGAAATATATTTGGTTGGATATGTTTTACTGTTTTGCTTCAAAATAGTTTGTGAAATCGTTCCTCCAAGTCCAAACGAATTTATTACAATATAAGGGGACGTAAGTGGCGTAACTTCTGCTACCACTTTCATGGTTCCGTTAAGTAGTGGTTTTACATTTTGGTTGGGTTTCTTGAAATCATAATTTGGAGCAATATTCCCCTCTTCCATTGCTAAAATTGCTTTTATCACTCCACAAAGACCTGCAAGAAAACTTGACTTAAGAATTTCAAAATGTGCGAACAAATAAGTTTTCACAATAGGAGAAACTAAAATCACAATTAGGTTAGAGGCGTATAGTGACCATACTATGATGTTATTTCACTACCACCTCTAACCTGACTGTGAATTGACTATGGTACGATGGTAGATGTCATACAATTTTTTTCAATACAAAAGCATCTTTTTGATGCATTTATCTTCAATAAATACACAAGTGGGCGACCTTTGTGCTAAAATACAAACTAATGCAAAAACCATTAAAGAGCACATAAATATTTATAAAATACAGACAGCTGTTTCGGATGCTCAAAGGGCAAACTTCATCAGTGCAACAGAAAGAAATGAGAGAAAACTTTTGTTCCTTGCTTCCTATTCGTCGTCATCCATTCCCCCTTCCCTCCTATTGGCCGTTGCTCCTAACCCTCTTGTGACGTCACCTTTCTATATATTTACCCTGCTTTCTCTCATTTCTTTCTGTTGCACTGATGAAGGTTGCCCTTTGAGCATCCGAAACAGCCGTCTTTTTTTATGAATATTTTGTGCTCTTTAACGTTGTTTGCTTTAGTTTTTAACTTCAATGTTTAAACGTTTTCGAGGTGAAAGTTTCAATGTTTTAATCTAAACCTCTTGAGAAGAAGTTTCACTCGTTTAATTACAACTTTTACTTTATGCACTGAAAACACCAACAGATGGAAAGCACCAGATATCCAGTTTGCATTGATTTTTACATTTCTGTTTGCATGAATAAACTCCTTTGTGTCAGGAAAAATAATTACCACGAAATTAGTCAAAGTTGAGGGTTTTTCATCCATTTTTACATTGGTACGGTGGGATTGATGTTGGGAGTAGCAAGTTCAAGGGAGAGTCACTATGCCTGCCTGTGATCAAAAATACTAAAAATGACTTAATACTAAAAATATATAACAATCAAAAATGCTAAAAAATAAAGAGTCTTGAAAATGAATAAATGTTATTGACATTCATTTGCGGTCTATATCTAACCGACCATTTCGAAGCAGGCGATATTGCATTTCACGCAACTGTCAGTAAATTTCACTGGTGCTATTACGCGGATTTTACTGTGGAAAAAAACGCGAGTAACTATATCTCGGCTGACACAACCGATAATATGACAAAATTGTGATTGTAATGTTCATTGTTAATGATAAAATTGAGAAAGAATTGGTTTATATACACAGTCCAGTCACATTAATGTGACCACCACCTACTTTTGACGTCAGCGTGAAATAACCATCACAGAAGGCAGATGCCAGCACATTACAGTGGAGTGTATATAAATGATGTCCTAGGGCATCGGAAAGCATTTCAATCGTTGGCGTAATGTAGAAACGTAGCGATTTCCGACGTTCAAAAGGACATGATTATTGGTTTTCGGGCCAAGTGTGGAAGCATTTCGGAAACGGCTGATTTTGTGAACTGTTCGCATGCCGCCGTGTTAAAAGTATACCGTGCATGGCAAAATGGCACTATCCAAAATCAGCGGCGTGGCACATGTGGTGCACCACGGGCTATAGATGACAGAGGCGAACGAAAGCTACGGAGATGCATTCGAACGAATAGACGTGCAACTGTTGAGCAACTGACCGCCCAGATGAACCAAGGGGCTACCAAGAGTAAACCTAGTGAGACTTTCTTCCTGCCCGTCTCGCAGCGGTCCGCTCTGCCAAAGGTGGTTATTCTGGCTTTTGACAGGTGGTCACATTAATGTGACTGGACTGTGTAGTAGGGTAAACTAACCAGTGAAGGAACACTTAAGCTTAGCTTGCCTTTAAAAAAATCATAAAAATTTCAAAATTTGTAATTTTAGCTAAATGACGGTGTTGACATATTTGATATTAAATGCAAATTATGTAAAACTTACATAATATTGTTTTAAGCTTTTGGTGGCTCAAATAATAAGTAGTAAGATAACCAAGTGAAGGAACAGTTCTTACCAGTGAATAAACACTAAATTATCCAGTGAATGAACAATTAATTTTGAGAATGCTTGATGCTCGTTAGGAATCCATAGGCCACACCAATGTCAAAAAACAAGATTTTTCTTGGAATTACAACATATAACCACAGTTAACGTGGAAAATTTTGCTTTTTTTTTCAGTCATGGAATGAAAAGTAAAATATGGTTGAATACAGAATTTTAAGAAAATTGNNACAGTGCTCCTCAATGTGTATCTCTTTTGAACAAGATGTTTTGCAATTTTGATATTTTCCATAAACCCTTATGCATATTATTTTGCAGAAGTAGCATATGACAATGACCATCATGCATATCACATGCTAGGTTTTGACCTATTCACAGTTACGTACTTTTTTTTTTACTCAAGGCTTTGTCCGCAAATCTATTTCACTATTTCGCAAAGAACAGTCTAATCATTCAACAAATTTCGAAAACTGATGTCACGGGCATAGGCGAGTTTTAGATTGATTAGTAAGCGAACTAAAACTTCCTCACAAAAGACGCTGTTTCGCTCACTGTACATGAATATCTGTAGCATTACCACGAAATTTCCTAATAACATCTATTTATGACATTTTTTATGAGAGATTGAAATGTACTTTGAGAAAGACTCTCGCAGAATGGGAATATTGCTAGCGATAGAAAAAAAGAAAAGCATAAATTCTTACGATGTGGAGCAACTTTTTATCAAAAGGGTTAATTTTCGATAAAGCATTTTCCTAAACCAGACTAATGGGCAATATGTTACTCTATCAAGGAGTAAATATTTTTAAATTCTAGCAATTTTTCGTCAATATTTTTAAATTCTGGAAGCAATTATCATTATTAATCACAGCGTGTAATATTATTATTTTTTCCTTAAATAGCTCTCATGTAGTAAGAAAAGAGTATTGACAGTTAAAAAAATTTATTTTTAGACTTGCTAACAAAACTATCATTGCCGAAATATGTTCTAGTAGTTATTCAATAGAAAGTATGAATGAAATTACATCTAATATATAAATTTTTTTATAGCCGGGATATCTTAGTAAGTATGGAGAGCAAACCGCGAGTTCGAATCCAGCCGGTGGAAGAATGCTCGTGTATTAAATGGTGACAGGTGAACATTAAATCTGTCCAGGTCACTAAGTCCTCAGAGTTCCAATAACAAATCAATACCTCTGGCGATTCATGGTGGCTCAAAGGATAGAGCGTTCGCTTTCCAATGAGGTGAACCCTGTCCGAATCCCAGCAATGGCAGGCTGATTCAAATTCCGCCCCCGCCTCGCACCGAACACAGTGCTGACGTATAATATCCTCAGTGGTAGACGGTGTATGGGTTAAATTTCCCTTGCCGTCAGGCTAACTGTGGGAGGGTTTCGCAGTTTTCTGCTCCGCAACACAAATGCGGGTTAGTTCCATCAAAAAGTCTTCCAAAAAGGCTAATTTGTCCCAATACTTGATCCAGGGATTCCCTTGTCATCTGGATTGGGTTCGAAATTGCAAGGTTATGGAGTTGAACATTGGTAGTCGCAAAATGAAAAAATTGGAGTGCTGTTCAATGACGGTTATAAATTACAAAATCGAATAAAATACCTCTGGGGCTACTGAATTTGAAATTGATCATTTTTTGGTTCAGGTCAAAATTACGATCTGTGGATGAATGAATAGAGTGTGAATGGATCTTCCCAGTAAAAACAATATGTGATATGTATGTGGCTTAAATCGTATTCTTGGCCATAGATGGCGCCACTGAAGAAACAAGAAACACGCTCTCTGCCTTGAATTCCCTTAGTATCCCTTAGCAGGCTTGCTAGTATTGGTAAGTTGCATAAGTAACAATAACATATAAATTTTAAATCTTAGTGACAGTGGTAACGTTAGTTTTAAAAAATTATAATATAAAGGACATACTGATATTAACTGACCTCTTTTACATATCGGAAAAAAGTATACTTTCAATTCTTTTCATATTTATCATTCTTCGTGTATTCATAAAATACTTTAACTCGAGAAAATGTAAAGCTTTAAAGAAATGGAATAGTCTGAACTAATTATTGTAATTTGTTCCAGTGCTTAGATGTAGATGTAGAAAGAAAAAAAA